TTTTGACCCCTTCCTCCCTTTTTTGAGCCTTTTGAGCCTCTCCTTTGCACGTGGCCCGCTCCAAAGTCTTTGAAATGTACTATCTCTTTGGATAAACTACTTTTTCAGTACTTTATTCCAGCATCTCATTCAGTTCTTTGCTCGAGTTGCCAAGCACCTGGACTTTGCACCAAGAAGGGCCCACTCTCCGACAACAATTTCATCCAAATGTACTTCAATAACTATCTCTAAAAGATGAGGAGTCTTTTTTGAAAATAACAATACCACAATCATCCTTAAAAAATTAAATGTAATTCCAAGGTCATCAAATAGCCCTTCTGTTTTCAAATTTCCCAAGTCGTCTCATGGTTTTTATTTTTTACAGTTGGTTTGCTTAAAGCAGGGTCCAAACAAGATCTACTCATTGATGTATTCTTAATACTCATAAGTAATTCTAGGGAGAAATGTTATTAAGTATGTATATATATCTTTACATTACAGATGAGAAAAACAAGATTTAAGAAGGTTATAAGTAACTTGTCCAGGTATTTTGCCGTATATAATGCGCTCCTGTGTATAATGCACACCCATGTTTTTTGGGCTAGACTTCCAGGGAAATGGAATTAGTACTATCCATGTATAATGCGCATCCTTATTTTTCCCTCACAAATTTGGGCCAAAAAGTGTACATTATACATGGCAAAAGACGGTAGTATCTGGTAGGGCAAAGCACATTTAGAATCAGAAAAGAAGAATATTAGTGACCTATAGTCACAGATTTAGGTTGGCAGTTAAGACCACACAGGGAATAGGTGTGGTCTAAAGAGATGACCAGAATTTGTCCTAGAGCTCCCGGATGGTCATTGCTTGCCATTTCTCTCCATTTAATTTCTTTTCCTAGAAAATATTAAATATGTTGTACTTGATTAGAATCCCCACATTTCATTTTATTGTAATTTTATTAGAGTCAATAGAATTGAAAACATTTGGGTTCATTCTTAAGACAGCAAATCTCATCTTGTCTGGTATTAAAACCCCTGAAGGGGAAAAATTCCTGTATCCCTGACCATTTTCCTTTATCTGTAGGTTGGCTGTAAAACTAAATGGAATGAGCCAATAGGTAGGAGAGGGCAGAATTGAGAAGCAATTACTAACCATCAGAGATGCAAATTAACCTCCCAAATCCATCCGGTTTACTTTGATTTCATGTCTGGGCTAATTACATTTAGGAATTAAAATCAGTATTTCTCTTTCATATGTCCCACCAGAGGCATCCTGGCTTTTCCCTCCAACCACATCCACTGAAATTGTTCCCACTAATTTATCAGCAATCTGGTGTTGAGTCCACTGAATACTTCTTTCCTTTAAAGTTGTTTTGATTCCTCCTGCATGTGACCATCCTGGCCTCTGACTGCTTTTCTTTTTTTTTAAAGATTTTATTGGGAAATCGGGGGAGGGGAACAGACAAGTTGCTGGCCTTTTGTTCTTCAGTCTAGTTGTGGAGGACGTCGCTTCACTGGCCAATGCTGGTGTTATCATTGTACACTTGCCAGGTGAGGCAGTCATCCGCCGGCCACTGGATGGCAGCTCACAAAAGTGCACGCCAGCTGCTGGCCAGCCCCACTACAGCCTAGGATGTAGCCGGCCACTCATGGCAGCCCAGCTCCAGGTCGAGCTGTTCACCGTCTTAGCTGTACAGGGAGCAGCATCACTGGCTCTCATGTGGGATCCAAACTGAGGCCCTGCTGCTCAGAGCGGGCATCCCAAGCCAACTCCTAACCAACGCACCACTCGGCCGGCCCTCAGACTGCTTTTCTTAGCCTCTTTAGCAAACAGCAATTCTACTGCCTGCCTCTTAGGACTCAGCGATTTCTAAGGAGCTGCCCCAGGCCAGTGGTCTCCATGGGTCCCACAGGAACCCAAACATGGTCCCAAAGTCACATCCCATATGAGGTGTGGTTCTGAAGTGGGTAGGGGGATGCTGGAGGTCCAGAGTCAGGTAACCCAGGCCAGGTGTTCCCAGGTGTCCCCCAGGAGGGTGTACTGGAATCCAGGGACTAGTGCTAGGGGAGAAGGACAGGGCTGCCCGATGGGTTATGTCGGGAGTAAAGAAATTAGAGAAATTGGAAGTGCCTCCTAAATTTTTGCCTTAGCTATAAGGATAATGGAGCTTCCCTGGATTGAGATAGAGAGCGCTAGGGGAGGAGCAGTTTCCCAGCAGTGCGGGTTGCGTAGAAATCAAGGTTTCTGTTTTGGACCCATGACTCTGGAGACGCCAGTTAGAAATCCAAGTGTATGCCTCCATGAAACAGCTGCATACAGAAGACTGGTGCTCTGCAAACAGGCCAGTCAGGAGAAAACTGCCGAGTCCTCTGCACAGAGGTGTCCTAATTAACTAGTGCCAAGAAGGAATGATAGCTCCTAGGGTGAAAAGTTAAAGAGAAAAAAGAGGGCTATCCAGAAAACTCCTAAGAGAAATACAAATTAACCAATGAACGAATTCAAGAATTCTTAAACTCACTAGTAACCAGAGAAAAGAAAGTTAAATCAAGATACATTTTCTCCGTCAGGTTAACAAAAATTAAGATAATAACCAGTTGGCAAGGATTGTGAGGGAAATCATATACTGTCAGTGGAAATGTTGATACAGACTTCCTTTTTACACTTAAAAAAATGGAGGCATAGTGGGACAAAATGAACTGGATTTTTTTTTCTAAAGAGCATGTTTTGATATTACATAAAAGATGTTGTAGTATATCAATTAGTGTGTATGTAGTGTTGCCAGAGGGAATTCTCTCTCCTTGAGAGACTTGATTTAATTTTACTTCTCCGTCAGACCACATTATTATTATTCCACTCAAGACCACATCTCCACTTCCCCTTCTTTTCCTCCACTGAGCACCTACTTGAATGCATTTCATTTGTCTTTAAGAATGGGTGTAATCTTGTAAAATAGGAAATATTGCTTTGTGTGTGGAAATCTGCTTAATTTATGGTTAAGTTCATTTTATTCATTTTCTCTGTTTATGAATTTACTGAACTTATTGTATGTTTGGTTTTGCCTTGTAGTTATTGGTATTAAAAACAGTATTGGTACTTGCTTTTACAGTGAATGGTGTTAATACTTTATTTTTTAATAACTTTGTTTTTTGCTTGCACTTTACCAGGATTCACCAAATATATTTCATTTTAGTGATTTATCTTTTAACAAGTTAGCTGAAGAACACCACATATCTACAGTATTATTTCCTACAGGATTCCATTATACATAATACTGGGTTCACATGAACACAAAAATGTTTTCAGTTACAAAATCTTGCCCCTCCACAGATCTCCTTTTTAAAAATCTTGTTATGAAAAATTTAGTTTATACCAAGTAGAGATAATAGGATAATGAACCTCCCACAGTCATTATCAATATAACAACTTTAATCACTTTAGAATTCTGTTCTATATGTATCAGATAAAAAGTTTATCTCTCAAGAATTTCCTTATAAAATCAGCTGGTATCTTGAGCAACTGCTTGCTTCATATGGGCACCCGCAGTGTTAACCTGTAAAGAAATCTCTCTCAACAGGTAACCCAGCTGGCCAGGCTCCGGGTTGAAATGTCTTTTTGTCTTTCTCGACCTCTCTATACTTTAGTTTGCTCACCTAAAAAATGCAAACAATAACGGAAACTGTCCTACAGGGTTATTACGAGGAAGAATTCTTAGATCAAGGCCAAGGACACTTAAGTGCTTATTACAATTACAGAAGAAACCCCCATCCTTCGTTCTGTCCCGCCCCTCCCACTTCCAGGAGGAGCCGGGTCTTTGCTGGGTGGAGTCCTCTCAGCCGCACTCGCACCTGTACGCGCGTTTAGATCCAGTGCGTGGCTCCTTTGCGCCAATCAAGGATCTGTTGCAGAGACCCTCTGCTCCAGGTAAGCAGGGAGGTGGGAAGATGCGGGTTCAGGAGGCTGTAGCTTGGTAAGAGGCTTGGCCTCCTGAGGGTGGACTTGGTGCCTGGGAGACATCGCGCCTCGCCAGGAAATCCAAACTTGGGTGTGGCTTATTTCAAAACACATTCCGTGTCTTATGGTTCCTGGTCCTTCAAAGAGCCTTGTCCAGAAGCGCCTGAAATGTTTGCTAAAAATACAGACTCAGATCCCACTCCGTCCTAAAGGGGAACTAATTAATATGTGTGTGTGACAAAACCCCCAGCGGTGCAGGTCCGAGGTCAAGCGTGGAATCCCCTTCCCGGATGCCTAAGTGAGGGGAGGTTTGTGTAGGCTGGGGGAGGGGAGGCATGCGAGCTGTGGGGTCCGGTATCCTTGATTGTCTGCTCCTGTATGACCTTGATCTTCCTTAATCCAACAGAGGGCGGACTAAGGCTCAGAGAGGTTAAGTAGTTTACTCAAAGCCACAGAGCTTGTAAGGGGGCACCAGGAATCTAATTCAGCAAATATTTAATCAGTTCCTATTAGGTGTCAGCCCTGAGCTGGATGTTTAAGGATCAATTATAAGAAAGGATACGGTCTCATTGTTTTGGTTAGTGTTGAAGACAGATCTTGATCTCAAAGAAAATCACTACAGCGATCAATTTTTATAGATATAGAGGGGGACGGGTGAGATACTGAGCTTTGAAAGGGAATTATGAGGCCAGGGGAGGAAGAGGAGAGGAGGTAAGGACTGGCCAGAGCTTTGCTGGATTCCAGTTCAGCAGTATTCAAATGCCCTCGTGTCAATTATATCTCAAAAAAAAAAAAAAGGTACTTGCATGCTGCCCTGAGAGAACAGGGTTATATTAGTGAATGGGACTTATACCTGTTTTGTAATGAGTGTAGAGAAGTGTTTAAGAACAATTGAAATAAAGATGTTTCTAACATGGCTCCTCCCACCCCCAAGGAAAAAAAAAAAAAAAAAAAAAGCTCTGGGGCCAGAGGCATGTCAACCTGGAAACAGTGAAGGAAGAACGGGCTGAAGGCAGCCTAGAGTGGGCTTGGTGTTAGGTAAGAGACAGACCATGAGGAGTCTTGGGGGCTCTGAAAGATCTGGGAAACCTGGGCACATTCTAAATCCTGCACTGTGTTAGCAGATGCAGGCATGGCTGAGGCCTGGTCGGTGTGAGTCCTAGGTCACGGGGTCATCCTACCGAGCCCACAGGTCTGAAACCCGCAAACAGCTGTAAAAACAAGATTTTGAAAAATTTAATGCAAAACTATTTGGCAAAACATCACCTGACATGAAGAAGAGCTTTTTAAAGTCTTTTAATTGTCCCATTTGGTTTGAATACACGTGCATTCTGCTCCATAATTATTACTGTTTAATTAGGAAGTGTTTCTCCAGATCATTCTGTGGATGTTTACATAATACATGATCTATGCAGCATATTCATTTACTAAAATACAAAATAGCTGGGACTGGAGTGAGACGTTACTTGCCTATTTTCCATCGACAATGTATTGCCTCTTTGTGTATTCAATACATTTTTCTTTAAAATCTGCTCGATAGTCTCTTGACTAGAACGTGTTTAACACGTATGTAGTTTATTCAGCCAGTACTGACAACTGATATTTCTAATGTTTCCGTTTTTCTGAAGTTTAAGCCAGTGCTTGAAGAGAACATCTTTGAACATACCTTGTTTTTTCCTTTTTGTTTTTGTATATATGTGTATCTTTGACTATTCGTTCAAGTTATGTGCGTGTTAAAAAACAAAATTCAACTGAATCAATTTTAAAGATCTTATTGGCTTTATTGAATAATTCAACAGGCAGCATTCAATCAAGCAGAAAGAAAGGAGCTCTGAGGAGCTGTACAAATGAAAGGTTTTTATGCAGAAGGCAAATGGGAACAAGGAAGTTGTTATAGGCAAAAGTTATTTTGCCTATATTGCAAGGTTATTGCAAGGTTGCTTTCCTTTAGGGGATGGCCTGGTCTATCCAGGCAGATGACCTCACTCTTGCTGGTCAGGTGATTCCTGATTGACTGACTGGTTTAAGATGCCATTTCTGAGAAAGATGAAACTGTATTTGTCTTGGTTTGATGACATGGGGTTTAGCATAAGTAACTTCTTTTTGGTCCTGTTTTGTTGTTTTTATCGAGAAGTTTTTAAACTTAGTATTAGAATTACAAGGGCAAAGCAAAGGTTTTTCAATTTTTGATATAGTTCAGCACTGCATTGCTTTTAAAAGGTTTCTACTTCACATCTACAGTGCTGCAATATCTACCTGCCAAAGCCAAAACCAGGGGATTACTAGTTTTTTTCAATCTTACTAGTACAGTAAGCATACTAAATAAAAGGGGCAGGTTTGTAATTCTTAGATTGTTAATAAGTTTCTGTACTTTCCCACCACCGTTGCTTCTCTGGGACTTCAGTTTTCTGTTTCACTTTCTTATCTTGTAGATATTTGTTTAGAGATAATGATGTTTGACTAGTAAATACTGGAAATATTCTTCCAGGTTTTGTTTATATTCAGTTTGTATGTTTTAAAAGTCACTTATTTTCTGGATCTCTTTCACAAATAGGCTTTTGTGGCAAGGGGAGCAGACAACGCCCCTCTACAAGATGCCTCTTTGGAACAAGGATTATTTGGGGCAGATTGTTTCTGAAAGACTGCTGTTGCTGGAGAATCGCTGAAAACAGTGTAGAAGTTGCCCTTTTGTGAGGGAAATTTACACTTAGAAAGGAACTCTCCATTTGAAAGGAGTTTCTCTAAAGTTCTAGAAACTCTTTCTTAATGGAGAATGCACAACTTAAATCTGCCTCACAACCTTTCCCTTGCTTCCTCTGCTTTGCCTGATAACCTCCCATAACTGCCTCTCCCTGCTTCAATGTCTTTCTTTTGTCGTTAGCTGAAGATGATATTTAAGGGGGTGGCTTAGGCCATTTTGTTGAGTTACTCGGTTCTCCTGGGTCTCTCCCAAGTATAGGGGAAGTATGTGTTATTAAACTTAGTTTTCTCATTAGTCTGTCTTTTTATTATAGGGATGTCTCAGCCAAGAACCTAGGAAGGTAGAGGGAAAAATTATAGTTTTTCTCTTACAGAGGAGCAAGAATGAAAAAAGCAAACTATATTTGGTACATGTGAATTCTGAGCCATCATAAATACCATATATGTTTCAAGCCTCAACACTGATGGGGGCTTCCTTAACTTGCATCTTATAAGACAAAAATTTATAGTGATATTATTATTCATATATGCCTGATTGTAAGAGTTTGGGATTGTAGGGGAGGAAAACTACCCTTCTACCTTTCTACATTCTGTGTCTAGTTTAAGAATTAAATGGACATAAAATGGACAAGAGAAAGAAACCACCTTAATTCCATTTTTTACATGCAGGAATTTCACAGATTTGAGAATCAAAATGTGCCAGACAATTGAGACTTTTACACTATTCTGAGGTAAGGAAAGGGGTAGGGGTCTGGGGCTTCTTAGGTTGGGGGAAGCAATTCATGGGTAGGTGAGAGGAGGAAACAAAGGTTGTCCTGTTAAGCAGGTAAGTCTCCTAAGTGAAAAAGTCATCTTTGGTAATAGCTCTCTTCTGCTACAGGCCTTCTTTCTAATGTAAATTTCCTTTATAATTGCTGATTTTCTGCCCCAAATGGGGAAATTTATACTTTTTTTGGGGGGGGGGGCAGTTAAGGGGGAGCTAAAGGACTTTTCCTGGGTCTGCTTGGTCTTGATTGTCTTAAGTTCAAAATAATCTACATCTAAAATGGCATATTTTGCGGCAGCATGGTCTGAATCCCTTCAGGATGTAAAATCAACTCTCCCAAGTTATAGGGATAGGTGACTAAGGCTGTGTTCTAATTTGGGGGTGGTACGTCTACCTGTCCCAGAGCCTATGTCCTTTCCATAGCCCCAGGTGAGGTGAATGGGAAGTAGATGGGATGTCGGGGTGGTGGTACCAAGTCGACAGGAATATATAGGGCACAGGAGTGAAAGACGGGTTACGAGAGGCTAATCGGTGTTGGACTAGAATGTGGTAGTGGGTAGGACCACTTGAAGTAAACCCATGTTTTGTTTTTCTTTTATTTGTTTTTTAAGGAAGAAATACCTTTTCAACCAAAGCGACTCATGATTTGAGGTAAACACGGTTCTCCTGACCAAGAAAGCAGCGTAGCTTGGCTTCATTTTCTCCAAGCTTCCAAAAGCTGGAGGAGTAGTTGTCCAGCTAAGCTGTGACTGGCTGCAGTTTGTGGGAAGCGCTTGTCTTGGCAGCTGGAATTAAAAGGTCTGAAGATTCAGGACTTTGTAGGCTACCGGCAAAGTGAGGATTGAGATTTTAGGGTGTATCCACTTTTCACGGCAGAACCCAACTTCCCGAAGAAACCTACCTCAGTCCAGTCTTTCATTCAGGGCCCAATGGAGGTCGAGGCAGCCCTGGCAGTACTCCAGGCAGAAGTCAACTGTCCCATCTGTCTGGATTATCTGAGAGACCCTGTCACCATCGAATGTGGGCACAACTTCTGTCGTTCCTGCATCCAGCAGTCCTGGGCTGATGTACAGGACAGGTTCCCTTGCCCTGTGTGCCGTCACTCGTGCCAAGAGAGGCACTTGAGGAATAACAGCCAGCTGGGAAGGATGATTGACATCGCCAAGCTCCTGCAGATCACCAGGAGCAAGAAGAAGAGGCAGGAAGAGAGGCGCTTGTGCGAGAAGCACAACCAGGTGCTGACCCTCTTCTGTGAGGAGGACCTAGAGGTGCTGTGTCCCCTGTGCTCTCAGCCCCCTGACCACCAGGGCCACCAGGTGAGGCCCATGGAGGAGGCCGCCTATCACCACAGGCAAAGGCTCAGCAGTTACGTCGAGCCCCTGAAGAAGCAGGTGGCAGATGTTCAGAAATTAATAAGCATTCAAAGCAAAAAACCCTTAGAACTGAAAGAGAAGGTAGAAAGCCAAAAGCAGGAATTATTCTCTGAATTTGAGTGCCTGAAGCAGTTTTTAGAACGTGATCAAGAAGCAGTTCTTTCAAGGCTAGCTGATGAGGAAAAGTCTATTCACAGGAAACTCAGCGCCAACATAACCGCATTTTCAGACTACAGTTCCACACTCAAAGGTCTACTGAGTAAGGTAGTCGAGAGCAGTGTGCTGCCCGAAGTGGAATTGCTATCACAAATGAAAAATTTCTACAAGAACTGTGAGGAGTTTAGCCCATCCATCTTTTCAGTTCAGTTAAGGAGAGAGGGCTGCAGTTTTCCTTTCCAGTATTCTGCTTTGCAGAAAATTATAAAGAAATTTAGAATAGATGTAATTCTCGACCCTGAAACAGCACACCCTAACTTGATTGTCTCTGAGGATAAGAAATGTGTGAGATTTACCAAGAGAAAACAAAACGTTCCTGAATGTCCGAAAAGATTTATAGTCAACACAGTTGTCCTGGGTTTTCCGTCTTTTCATTCCGGCAGGCATTTCTGGGAGGTAGACGTGGGAGACAAATCCAAATGGGCTGTCGGGGTTTGCAAAGACTCTCTTTCCACGAGGGCGAGGAGAAGCCCATCGCCCTGGCAGGGATGCTGGAGGATACGGCGGCAGGACGATAGCTATGATGTCCCGGGAGCTTGTACAGCCAATCTGCTGTCACAAGTGAAACCCAGAAGCATTGGCGTTTTCCTGGACTATGAGATGGGTGAGATCTCATTTTATAACATGACTGACAAATCTCATATCTATACTTTCACTGACACTTTTAATAGACCTCTTAGGCCTTATTTCCACATAGGGCCTGATTCAAAACCTCTCAGAATCTGTACAGGAACAGATGATGAATGAAAACTCCCTGACAGGTTGTACCAGTTTAATAGCTGTTGGTTTGTTTTTTAAATGGAAGGTGGGTAGGCTATTGGGTGAATATGACAGTAACTTGAATCCCCTCTTCACAGTTTCACCCCTCGAGAAGAAAGTTTCATTTTGTTTTGACAACATAGTACAGGTAGCATCAAGGCCCTCCAAGATCTATCTGACAGTCCACCCTCCTCTCGTCCTACTGTTACACTTTGGTTCATGCTATACACGGTGCTTGTGGCCTTCTGTAGCTGTCTGCCTTACCCATGAATTCTGAAAACCTTACAGCTTCTTTCCTCTCTAGGGTACTCTGACCTGGAGCTCCCATAGTACCTTGGATGTAATGCCATCATTTCACTTAGCTCAGAGCCTAGAAATCCTTGTCCTCTCTCTTAGAACGGAAGCTATAAACCAAGGTCTGTCTTATTAATATTTGTATCCCTGCTGCTCGCATAGTATTGGCCTGAGGAATAGAATGCTTAACCTTTAAATTGCTTGGGTCATTCTTCGGTTTTGCTGGTTCTGATACTTAGTTTCATTTTCTTTTATTGTTTGAAATGTTCCTTGTTGAGTTTAAAAAAAGAGTGTGGGTGGTTATACAGACATCATATTAGAACCTGAGTATCCTAACTTTAACTTCTGCCTTTCTCTGTAAACCAAAGTTTATCCCATAAACCTTCCTGATTATAGGTCCTAATTGAATTTAAAAATAAATACGAATTAATCATCTGTCATCAGTGTTTTCCTTTTGAAAAAGAAAATAGCTGATGGCAACGTTTATAGACTGCTGCAGAGCATAGAGACAGGTTTGCAGAGAAGGAAGTGGTTTGGAGACTTACTAAAAAGGAAGAAAAAAAGAAAAGAAGGGATTGGGGTTGGGGGGGAGTCAGGAAAATTGGATACAGTCTGAATTTTAAAAATACAATTTTGGCTTTAGTTTATGAATCTGGTCATCTTGGGGATTCAGTGGTGTTGTCTGCAGATGAAACACCATCCCCTTTCTCTTAGAAAACTCTTCGATACCCCATCCAGGCTGTGTCTAAAAGAAATGGGTTTGCCCTCCATAAGTAACAGTGGGTGTCATCAAATGAACTACATCTGTTGCCAAATAGTTGTGTATAACTTATGGGGTTTCAAGCCAAATACCGATTATTCAGCTAAATAAAAAAAAAATAATAATAATTAGCAGCATACATTATCACAAATATCCCCTCCCCTCATGTTAAACTCTCAAACAGGTCCAAGGCAGCATATAAAGGTGCTGATAGCAAATTGATAAATTAAAGGGGCACACTAGAAATCTGGAGAAGTAAAGCCATTTACTCATAAAAATGTTTTTTTTTATCTGGAGAACTAGATATGCTTTAATATCTGTATAGAAGTTGATATGACATTTTATTCCCATCATTTTTCAGTAGAATCCAAGACTTAAAAAAAAAAAGGTGTCCTTTTTAGACAAAGAAAATTTTTTTTTTTTATAGCTGAGCCATCCTGCCACCTGTTGGCAGCTCAGCAGCAGCTCAGCTTGGGCCGGGACTCGAACCGCTGTTGCTCAGAGCTCGCACTCTTGAGCAAGCTTTTAACCAACTGAGCCACTTGGCCGGCCCTCCTTTTTAGACAAACTTAAAGCCACCAAAGATCCCTTTCCTATCACTGAACTTACTGATCCAGTGAAGGTGTCATATAGTCAATACTGAAATACATGGTAACTTCTTGAAGAAAAGCAAAAGTAAAGAGAAAGGTTAGGGTTTTTAAGTATTTCAGCGGTTGCCAGTAGAAGGTACCACAGATGTAACAGACAGCAGTGGTTAGTGTAAAACGGGTCAGTCTAAAACTGATCAAAGTAATCTTATATTTCTGGAAAATGGAGACCGTAGATTGCACAGTAAATCACTGAGTGAGGCCTTGGTTCTACAGTGAGATTATAAATGCTACAAGGGCCAAGCTGCCATCCAATACCACACGAGCATATAAAATACATGATAAAGCTCCAGGGGAAGAAACATTAACACAAAAATGATTCTTCATCAAGTTAAAAGTGGGAAGAGCTTATTTGATCAAATCCCTGTTTTAAATATTATCTTGTCAGATTCCCTTGATAAATAGCCAAATTATTACAGGGCTCTTATGTCACGTGGAAGAAGTGTTGGCCAATGAGAAATGTTTAAACTACCTTGGTCCTTGGATAAACCAGGCAGTTGACTAATTTCAAAATGTGCAAAACACATTCTCCTTGAGTGATCAAGGCTCCACAATGCATCTTTCACAGGGCTCACAAGCCCGACATATTCAACGGCCACACAAGTGAGAAACAAATTCAGGTTTCCAACAAAAACTGTAAAATGTTACTTGGCAAAAGCTGCAGTTCCCTGTCAGCTTGTCAGGTAGTCAGTCGATCAGTCTTAAATCCCTCTGCAGTTGATGTCTTAGCCCTGTCACATTCTACTTGGCTGAGAGCCTGGGTCCGAGGCAGTGAGAGCCAACAACCGCCTACTCAACAGGGCATTGTGTCGCTTCAGGTATACTATTATGTCTCCTTGCTTTTCGACAATTTCTTCTAGGCTGGAAATCGTCCTGTAAAGAATGAAGAAACGAATGGGTTGCACATACTCACTAATACTCATTAGTCTGTTCGCAAATGGGTCCCTACTGGTTGAAAACCATTCAAAGTACAGCATATTGTATTTGTTACTTTTTCTTAAACGTTATAAGCCAAGGCAATATTCCAAAATGAGTCTTTTTTTAGACTGGATTTCACCACAGCTGAAAGGAAGTAAACACATCAAACCTAATTCTAAAGGCACACACACACACACATATGCACAGTCATAGTCTCCAAGCTTTAGAACGGTTTCTAGATTTCCAGGGGGGAAAAAACCTTTCAGTTCTTTTTCATCTTTTCCTCCCCACCCAAAGCTTACCTGAATCCAGTCTCTGAAGCAATATTGATGGGGTAAGCATAGACCTTTTCTTCTTCAAGTATATCAGGCTGTGGTTTGGCTGTATTAAATTTTCGAATTTTCACTAAAATAATAAAATCATTGTCAGATTATCTAATTATGAAAATTTCTGTTTACATTTATTCACATCACTGTTGGCTATTTTCAAGTAAGTTAATATACATAAAAATGCTTCATAAAGTGAATAAACATTCATTTACTGATGTACTCAAACATTTGAAAGTCTGTGTGCCAGGCCTGCACTAAACAGTGGGAACACTGATGATCGTTATTGATAATATTAACAGGTATCATTTTTTGTGCATTTGAAACAGAAGGCATAGATGAACTGTTTTACATGCAAGTCATTCAGAACCACTCCCTGAGGTGGGTGCTCTTATTACTCTTGTTTTCTACAATCAAGTAAAGTGTAGCCTAGGGAAGGTCCACAAATAGCCAGGGCTATAATCCAGGGAGCAGGACTCCAAAGCCTCCGCAGTGGACACTGCCCTATAAAAAGAGCTACTAACTAGTCCAGGGATACATACAAATGATAAGCCTACATTCCAAGACAGTATGAAAGGGGCCATAAATCGAAGCTTGCACAAGGGGCGAGGTCAGCCCTGGAAAGCAGCTCCTCGTGAGTGGGATGGGGTGGGGGAGGTGATGAGTCAGGGCAGGGCCTGAATCCAGCCTTGAAGGAAACAGGAATTTATTACAGACTAGGAGTGGAGAAGAGGGTGTTTTAGGTGAGGAAAGAGCCTGAACAATTAGGATCCTGAGAAGGGGGAGTAGGGTGATAGTGGTGGTGGTGGTGGTGTGTGTGTGTGTGTGTGTGTGTGTGTTTTCTAACAAGATATGTTTATTTAAAACTTACATTGAGCCAGTTAGTAGCTTTAACACAGAAGAAGATAGCTGTAGCAACATAAAACAAGCTATTTTACAATGTAATGTCTTAAACTGTCATCTTGGTTTTTAGAGATTAATTACTTACAATTCAAATCAATTAGTCAAGATTAGGTCAGAATTAGTGTATCAAAGAAATCATGTCTTAAGAGTTACTATCCATATTTATCAAAACTAACCATTGTTTAAAATATAGAGAAGAAAAATGCATTTATTAGGCAACCAGAGTTAAATTTTCTGGGACACTGAACAAAAGCAACATTTGTCCATAGAAGTGACTCCCTAAATCTCTCCTGTCAGAGCCTACATTTAAAGGAGCATTATAACTTAAAAATTGGCCTATTGAAGATGTGGAGAGAAAACTTGAATCTTCTAAAGAAAATCAGTATTTGCAGAGAACCCTACACTAAGTAAATTTATAATGATTATAATTATAAATCTTCCATATGTAAATCATCTATTTTGCAAGCCTGAATTCCCAATTATCAGTTTTTTTTTTTTTTAAAGATTTTATTGGGGAGTTGGGGGGAGGGGAACAGCGCTGGTGAATCTGGGGAAGGGAAACAGATAAGTTGCTGTCCTTTTGTTCTTCAGTCTAGTTGTGGAGGACGTTGCTTCACTGGCCCATGTTGGTATTATCATTGCGCTCTTCCCAGGTGAGGCAGATTGGTCACTGGCCTCTGGACGGCCGCTCACGGCAGCTCTTGGCAGCTCACACCAGCTGCCGGCCACTCACGCTGGCTGCCGGCCACACATAGTAGCTTATGGCAGCCCACTGTCGCCAGCGACTCACGGCAGCCCAGCTCCAGGTTGAGCTGTTGTTCACCATCTTAGCTGTAGAGGGCAGTGTCACTGGCCCTCATGTGGGATCCGAACAGGGGCCTGCTGCACAGAGCTGGCGTCCCAAGCCAGCTCTTAACCAACGCTCCACTTGGCCGGCCCTATCAGATTTTCTTAAAGTAGGAAGCATGTTAATTTGAGATTTGAAAGAACAATTTTTTTTTTTAAGATTTTATTGGGAAACTGGGGAAAGGGAATAGTTAAGTTGTTGTCCTTCAATCTTAGTTGTGAAGGGTGTAGCTAGCTCAGCTCCAAGTCCAGTCGCCATCCAGCAGCCTGACGGCAGCTCGCAGCAGCTCAGCTAAAGGTGCCGTGTTCAATTTTAGTTGTGGGTGGGCATAGCCCACCATTCCATGTGGGAGTTGAACTGGAAACCTTGTTAAGGGTGCATGCTCTAACCACTGAACCATTTGGCCGCCCTTTGGCCACTCAGCTTGGGTGCAGCTCACTGACCCATGTGGGAATCGAACTGGTGACCCTGTTCCTCAGAGCTCGCGCTCATACCTGACTGAGCCACTTGGCCGGCTGAAAAAAGGACAGTTTTTAATGGTATATATGATTTGTATAAAAAATTTAAAAATTTATGTAAATAAAGATGAAATATGCTCCTAAGTCTTTGGCTGTAGAGCAAAACAATTATTCAATTAGGAAGACAATAGATTAAAATATATGTTATATGCCAAAGGAAAATTCTTTTTGTTCAAATTCAGGTGTCATGTAACTAATATAATTGTGCCAACTGTAAAACTTAGTTCTCAGGTTTCTTGAAACATCTGCCTCCTCTACCTCTTTAAATGATCTGAGGTCTTTTTGTTTTTAACATCTGTCTTATTTATAATTAATTTTAAACGCTCCAGAAAATCCTTTAAAAATAGTACAGTAAATCCTGGAGAAATGATCTTGGACTGCATTTTAACAGTATTAACTTCCCCTTATTTACATGATGACACTCACGCGATGGTTAGAATATTATTGTCACCTCCTTCTATGTTGTAGAGAATTCTATAGGTATTATGGAAAATACTTGACCGAAGCCTTGCACCCCTTGTAGTGAATAAAAATTTTAGATACTATAAAAACATGCTAATTGAATTCTATACTCAGATCTAACTATAACCCTATTTATAACACTTGACAGACATATGTCAGAATAGAAACTGCTCAATCAACACAATAATTCAATGTTCATTTCTTTCAAATAGATCACTACTGAAGTATTGAGTTATTTCTTATATACTGAAAAATTAAAGTTTTTATATACTGAAAAATTAAATTTCCTATATACTTTAAAACTAGTCTCATGCTTTCCTATTAAAGTAGGTGGTAGACATGTCTTTTTTGAAGAATTTTTCTTTCTTTATTTTAGCTGAGGCATCCTGCCACCTGTTGGCAGCTCAGCAGCTGCTCAGCTCGGGCTGGGACTCGAACCTCTGTTGCTCAGAGCTCAAACTCTTGAGTAAGCTCTTAACCAACTGAGCCACTAGGCCAGCCCTTGAAGAATTTTTAAAGGTACAAATGTAACCCTCTACCTAATTTGGCTAATAGTTAGCTGGTAACTACAGAAAAATTTATGAAAGTCAATTAAGAATGTGATACCACATTTACAAACTAGTCACTCCATTCATAGTCTGAGTACTTTTTCCTAGGCTTCATGGAGACCAAAGAGCAGTAAAATGAAAATAGGCTAAGCCCTTTGTGACTTCTTCCTTTATAACTAGAGAGATGATCTCTTTCAAGATGGATAAAGTATTTTATTGCTAATAACAATCGTTGCTCATTGCCACAAAGTTAGCTACTACTATGGACCGATTTTACTGATCAACATTGCAGCTAGAATGAAATCTAGATTTTTTCAGGGCTTGAATTTTTTTTTTTTCTGTCAAAGTATCCTTTCATCTATTTTTCCTGTTAACATACCTGAAGCTTACTTTACTTTACCATTGAGAGTTTTGAGAGAGAAACAAAGGCAGACCAGCCATCAGGCAGCTCTGAATTTAGAAAGAAGTTGGGTTCTTAAATGCTTTATCTCAAAGCAAGTTTGGGATAACTGCAGTTTGAATGCATTATTTATTGACTCATTTTGTTATTTAAAAAATTTTAATGCCAGACTTACATTTCAGTTGCCTTTGAGGAATCAAAAATTGGTGGACCTTTTTAATTGTTTTGCTTTTATTTTATTTTATGAAAAGGCTTCACTTTAGTTGACAAAAGATTTGTGAATGACACAGATTTAGAAATGTGACTCACTGGGGTCTTCCTGTTGATTTGAAATGAGAGGAGTCTGGATGCGGTCAGCAATAGGAGAGATGGGTGCTCAAAGGTTATCAGCTACGTGGGAATTCCGGTTGCGCATAGGTAATGAGCTAGGCTTTAAGTGGGTCTTTGTAAGAACAGCCCAATTGCATTTCTCACCTGTGTAGATGAGCAGACACATCAGACAGCAGATCAGTTCCAGGGCCAGGATGGCCAGGATGAGGTCAAGATACAACCTGCTGGGCTCGGGGAAGGAATGCTGCACACACAGTGTGAGGAGCAGTGCTGTGCTGCCTGAGAACGAAAGAAAGCAGTGTCAGCCCGAGCCCAGCACCAATACCCACAAGGCCATGGGTGCGAGACCCATTCACACTTAGCAGTGAAGGGAGTGGAGTTAAAGGATAAAAACCCCCAAGCTGCTCATCTTTTTTAAAAAAAACACCAAAACACCTCTAAGTTAATGATGTCTTAATACAAATACGTAAAAATCTGGATTTTCTTAAAAACAAAGAGGTTATTTTTTTGCTTTATAGAATTATTATTATTTTAAAAATTTTTATTGTTAGTTTCAGGTTATATAGAACAACATAATGATTAGATGTTTACACCCCTCACAAAGCGATAACCCCAACAAGTCTACTACCCATCTGACACTGTACATAGCCATTACAATACCATTGACTATATTCTCTATGCTGTACTTTACAGCTCATGACCACACACACACACACACGGTGCCAAAAAAATGTATACACATTTTAGGAAAGGAAAAAAAATTGCATTAAAATTGTAATAATATATACTGATAACAAAAGATGAATACAAGTCATGTGTATACATTTTTTTAGCACCCCTGGTATGTGTGTGTGTGTGTGTGTGTGTGTGTGTGTGTGTGTAAATACACATTTAATTATAGTTGACATTCAATACTATTTTATGTAAGTTTCAGGTATACAGCGCAGTGGCTTTATAGAATTATTAGCAATGACATTTCTTTGGGTCCTTTGTGCATTTAAAAAATGATGCGGTGTTTAAAAATTTGCATTACCCCAGTTTTTTGGGATGCAGATGCACTTGAGGACCCTAGGAGCCCACTCTGGTCATGCAGTATGCCTACTGCAGGCCTGCACTGCCCTTAGGGTCGCTATGACGCTCCAGAAACCTGGCTGAAAATTGGGGACACCTGCTAACCTTGGGCAAATGACCAGCTACTGCTGCTCCTCGACTTTGTCATCTGAAAAATCGGGATAATAGTACCTTCCTCACAGTGCTGTTGTGAGGACTGAATATGTGAAAAATACTTACAATGGTGCCTGGCCTGTAAATATCCAATACATATGACTTATTTCCCCCCTTGCTCAGCAAACCCATTATTTTTGAAAGCCACTTAAACCTCATTCTGTACTTTTACTCTGAAGAAGGTCAAAGAAAAGTTTAGGGGCCAAAGTGATTCCTACAGCATCTTACCTTACGATTTCCTAAACCTTCTTTAACATTTATTTAAGTGATCACGAGAGAGAAATGCCTATTTATCTTCCACTTCTTGGTACAAAAGGAATGATTGTGAGCCCGAGTTTAAACAACCTATCAGAAGGCGCTGTACAAAGCGGTGTTCTAACAAGCCCGAACCGTTCCCCTTACATGCAAAAATAACCAGTCACAATGTATTTATTAACATGGGGACAGATTGCTTAATTTGTAAATTAGTTTTATGAACAAGACAAATACAATTTTACAACATTTATGGGGGAAGAAACCTCTGCACAGAAGTGAACAGTGTTCAGAGGATTTTTGATGTGCTGCACATGGCCTGTGTGTCAGCAGCTGGTGTAATGAAGAGCTCTACGGACATGAAGTCTGCAGCCTGGTGGAAGATGCACACTGAAACGAAACTTCCCCACAGGGCACAAGCTGTGAATGTTATAAAGGTGCCCCTCCTGGAGGAAGCCCTGCCCAGCACATCACAGTTCAGACTAAGATCACCCTGCTGCTGGGTTACTGCAGCAGCCTAATCAGTTTGGCTCCAACCAGATGCACTCTCCAGCTATATAGCCCCACTGATCTTTCTAAATCGCACGAATTGCAGGAAGCCTCTCTGGTGTGATTGTTCTCCATGGCCCTGTCTCAGGGTCTGGACCCAGCTAATCTTTGCAGCCTCAACACCTCCCTGCGCCCCCCCCCCCCCCCCCCCCCCCCCCCCCCCCCCCAGCTCACACCTGCCTGCAGGTTCCTGTGTCGGTGCCCAACAAATACTTCCTACATGACAACAATTCATGATCAGGTTTTTTGTTTTTGTTTTTAAAGGTTTTATAACCATAGACATAAACCTAGATGTTCTTGTTTTATTATTTTATTTATTTTTAAAAAAAGATTTTTATTGGGGAATTGGGAGGATGGGAACAGTGTTGGGGAATTAGGGAAGGGGAACAGATAAGTTGCTGTCCTTTTGTTCTTCAGTCTAGTTGTGGAGGACATTGCTTCACTGGCCCAAGTTGGCACCATCATTGCGCTCTTCCCGGGAGAGGCAGATCAGTCGCCAGCTTCTGGATGGCCGCTCACAGTGGCTGCTGGCCACTCATGCTGGCTGCTGGCTACACGGTACCCCATGGCAACCCACTGCAGCAGGGGCTGCAGCCTACACTGTCGCCAGCGACTCATGGCAGTCCAGCTCCAGGTTGAGCAGTTGTTCAGCATCTTAGCTGTAGAGGGCAGTGTCACTGGCCCGCATATGTGAGATCTGAACCGGGGCCCTCTGGCGTCCCAAGCCAGCTCTTAACCAACGCGCCACTCGGCCAGCCCTGTTCTTGTTTTATTTTTCTCACCATTTAAAAAGAAAAAGATTTTAAGAGTTAATGGAATCCTTACTATTCATTCAAAATACTAGGAAGAAAGAAGTTCTTGGGAGCCAGGGGAGCTAGTCTAGTGGAGAGCCTGGAGTTCTGGGCTCTAGTGGAGGATCTGCTGCTACCTCTTATGGACTACAGCTGTTACTCTGACCCCAGATTCCTCCTCGATGAATTGGGGGAAATAAGACTTGTCACACAAACCCTGTCACACAATTTCCTGTTGTAGGAGGAAATGAACTAACAAGGCCTAAGTAGGTATTCAATAAATGGTAGATAATAATAATGGTTTTAAGGATCCCATCCCAATGCCAGACATATGCCATATAGTCCCTCCTCTAAGTAAGTCCCCATGGCTGACGACAGTCTCAGGCTACACTACAGCAAGACCCAGCCTGTGCTCCACTGCTCCCAGGAGCACCCTGGGCCCTCCTGTAGAATGTGGGGCTAGTGAGAACTAAGGGTGGATAGCACACAATCTCTCTGACCTAGGGTCCTAGAATTCACACTGGCAGCTACTTTTATAAATAAGTATTCCCTCCAGAATTTACATTCTAGGGTAGTTCCCTCAAACTGCCCTTTTGTGGGTTTAAAAAAATTTTTTTTTAGAGAATTTTTATTTGAGCCAAACTGACGACATATGCCGGGAAGCAAGATCTTAAATGTTTTTCGAGCTGTACTTTTGCATGATTTCAATCTCTAGGTTCACCCTTTCAGGCCTCGGAGAGAAACACTGCTTGTCTGGGACCATCTGACAGATTGAAAATTACTGCTTTTAAGGGAAAAGGCCAAGTTTTCATTTCAATGGAAAAATAAACAACAAAATATGCAACTTGCTATGTAACAAATACTATTTGATAGAGCTCAAAATGTATTTGGATCTAACGAAGGAGGACAGATAAATTAGATAAATATTTTCAACTTATTTGGAAGTAAAGCAAAGCCCCTTCTCCCATCTCCACAAAATAAATTTATTTTCCTCTCTCTAGAGAATAATAAAAAGTAGGAAAAAGCCAATCAATATCCAGCAATACATGTGATAAAGCTGGTTATACTCTTCTGATGAGCTGAAAGTTCTATGATTTACCTTCTTTCCTTTCAAATAAAAAAATATATATACTTAAAGAAAAATAGAAACAAGGTTAAATACCTGCCCCAATATTTTTGATTTTCTGGGTCTTTATATGAGCAACATATAAGTGATGCCATCTGTGATTAAACTAAGGGTCTAATTGTGTAGAAATAGATGATGATGAAGGATCACATGTTTAATAAGAATTTGAAAGTCTGAGGAAAGGTAAAGATCAGGCAATCTCTTGGTGGGCCTCAAAAATACTATTTCCAGAGAATCACTTAAGAAACTGACCATTATTTTGGTCATAGAGTATATAAGGTCTTTTAGTAGTTAAAAATAAGTTTCCCCTTTTATCTCTGTCGGGGTAGGAGAGGTGATAGTGACATCTTTTGGCCACCAAAGAGTACTACACGTCAAAAATTGAACCCACTGTATAAGACCAAGGAGCAGTAAATGTCGCCCTCTTTTAGATGAGTAAAAATCAGCCATCTCTACAAAATGCGTCTTTGTTATACCACAGCCCTCCGGCTTCCACTGAGAAGCTACGTCACTGAGTGGATGGACTACCAGTTTGCCCTTAAGGAAATGTACTAATAAAAGACAGAAGAAGGGCTAGCCGAGTGGCTCAGTTGGTTAAAAGCTCGCTTGGGACCCCAGCTCTGAGCAGCAGAGCTGCGGTTCGGATCCCACATTAAGGGCCAGTGATGCTGCGCCCTCTACAGCTAAGATGGTGAACAGCTCGACCTGGAGCTGGGCTGATGTGTGTTGCCGGCGATGGCGTAGGCTGCATCGGGGCTCCAGTGGGCTGCCGTGAGCTACACGAGTGGCTGACAGCCAGCGAGAGCTGCCATGAGCCACCGTGAGCAGCCGACCAATGACTGGCAACCGATCGCCTCACCCGGGAAGAGCGCAATGATCATACCAACGTGGGCCAGTGAAGCGACGTACTCCACAGCTAGACTGAAGAACAAAACAGCAATTTGTCTACCTGTCTGCTCCCCTTCCCCCTTTCCCCAACGCTGTTCCCCTCCAATTCCCCGATAAAATCTTTAAAAAAAAAAAGAGAAGAAAAGTAAAAAGTAAATTCTGTAGAGCTATTTCTCTGGGGAACATTTCATTTCTAATCTGGCTTTAAAAGGTTTAAAGATTTATTTGGGACTCAAGTTGAAAAAGAGGGTCTTTAAAAGTGATAGAAACTTTAATTACACTAAGGCTAAAATACCTAAAGAAATTGAATTTAATTCCATTAAGCCTTTAAAATGTCTGCAGCAATAAAGAACAGCGGGCACTCATGCACTCTAAATCCTGTACAGACATTCTGATCTTGCCTTCATAATTTGTTTTTCGTTTTCCATTTGGATAATGCATTTTATTACATAGCAGTCTCTCTCTAACTGCAAGAAAAGTACTGAACTTCATTTAAAATAAAACAATCCCCTCTTCTTATCCTACAAATAGCAGCAGCATTTAAGTCTCCTTGAGATGGATAAGGAAAAGGGAGACATGTCCCCATTTCACACAGGTATATGTGGACATTATATCCATACTGAAGGGGAACAGAAAATGCCACCCCAAAATATGACTTTTTGGTATAAGGATGACTTGAAGCTGATTAGTTTTAAGAAACAGCACACACAGGAAAAGGTCTGAAATTTGAGAAGTTATCCATTTGTAAGACCGTCTCCCTCTCTGTACCAGGAAGAGAAGGATGACTCTAAATCTTGAGAAACTCTTATTAATAAAGAAGACACCTACTTAAATATGCATAACAACCTTACCCCTGTGTTTATTGTGCCTTTCCTGGTACCCTCCCATAACTACACCCACACTCCCACATATTCTTTTGTCTTTTAGCTGGAAATGTTATTTAAGGCAATGACTTGGGCCGTTTTGGGGAGTTATTCAGTTCTCCTGGGTCTCTCCCAAGTATCCAGGAGGTATATACATGTTATTAAACTTCTGCTTATTTTTCTCCTGTTAATCGGTCTTTGATTACAGTGGGGTCTCAGCCAAGAACCCGGAAGGATAGAGGGAAAATGATGTTTCCTCCCCTATAATAACAAACAAAGATTTCAAAGGAAAATTAGGGTTGTATATATTATAAGAAAAGCTTCAAGACATTTGGCTGATCCAAATTTTAGTGGCCACCACACATACCATTCTCAAAAAAATTAATCTATAGTTAGTCCTCACTTAAGGTCATGAATAGGTTCTGTGACTTTAAGCAAAATGATGTATAAAGAAACCAATTTTACCATAGGTTAATTGATATAAAAAAGAGTTAAGTTCCTACCGCATCCCATACCCACATTTTAACAAAACGGCCTTCAATGAAATGACATTATTCAAGGACCTGCTGTATTTGCTTATAAAATCAAACTTCACATTTCTTTCTGCTGTCATCTTGGCCACTCAAATAAGCCACAGACAAGATGAGTGAGACAATGGGGCTTACCAGTGGAGTGTATCATTAGTGCAAGCCTTTTAAGATGCCTTGTTGATCGGTAGATCAGGTGGTAGCCTCGGTTTCTTACTTTGCTGTGGTGATACTGCATGTAGCGTTCAAGGAGGAAATGCAGAATCCACAAAATCACTTTTCCGAGGATTATGACCGTCTGAACTTTCAGTGGGTTGGTGTAGTTTCCTGGGCACTTGTCCTCGTTTGGATTAGGGTAAGAACAAAGTATGCCTGTTAAAAATGCTAAAATAACAAACACAACCTGGTGGGAAGAACAGCAGTAGGATTAATATTCAATATTTGGATATAAGAAACAATAATCACCATCCAAATACACACTCTTACACCTATGATTTTCCCTGTTCAATTTTTTATTTTATTTAATTAATTTTTTAGTTTTTAAAAAAATATGGAACGCTTCACAAATTTGCGTGTCATCCTTGCGCAGGGGCCATGCTAATCTTCTTTGTATCATTCCAATTTTAGTATATGTGCTACCGAAGCGAGCACCCCGTTCAGTTTTTATACATGAATTTAAAAAACATATTTTTACAACCATTTTACACAGGAAATTTGGAGAAAAATGTGCAGATAACTTGGAAAACAAAATCACAACTAAGAAATTAAAAATCACTATACATTCCAACCATCAGAGACGAGTACTTAGTATTAAACAAAGTTTCCTGCCCTCGTCTCTTGTACTGAAAAGAGTAAAAACAGTTCATTGAGTGCCTCAAAGGTAACTAATACAAATCATGGTTAGAAAAAGTTTATTTCTAGTTTCAGTGTTAAGAGAACACAAAAAACTATCCAATTAGGTTGACAAAAACTTAAAAGATTGGTGCCAAAATACAGGCAAACAAACATTCTCATACACTGCTGACTGGTCTGAGCATTGGTGATGAAAAATAATTTGGAAATATCTTGACCCAGAAATCCTACCATAAGGACTATCCCTCCCAAGTAAAAACACTGGTACCTAGTATCCATGGATCTGAACACTGACAGCAGCACTCTCTATCTTTGCAAAACTTGAAAACTGCCCAAGTATATGTGTCCATCTATAGCAGAATACCTGAACAAATTAAGGTACATCCATCCATATAATAGAATATTATGCAGCTATGACAGAATTAACTAAATCTCTGAGTATTAGTTTAGATGGATGGCTAGGATATGTAAAAGAACTAAGTTGCAGAGTAGTAGTTCAAAGTGTGATTTCCAGACCAGCAACATCAGCATCACTAGGGAATGTGTGAGAAATGCAAATTCTGGGGCTCCACCCCACACCAGCTGCATCAAAATCTCTGGGGTGTGTGTCCTGGCAATCTGTAATTCAACAAGCCTGCCAGGGGGTCTGATGCAGGCTGAACTTCGAGGAACACTGTTGTACAGTAATAAATACAGTACTGGCCAATTTTTTTAAAAAAGAAATTGGATAATACTGCAACTATGTCTACAATAAATTCTTTGAAATAGAGATATGAGTAAAAAAGTATGCACATTTTAAATGTTGGTAGTTATAGCCAAATTGCCCTCTGAAGAGCTTCTATACATATTTTGAAGAACATCACCTCTGGATGGGTCACCTTCTCCCAGCCGACTTACATGTATGAACAAGAGAAGATTTGCTATGATGACCGTAGGGAGAGGGTGGAACCTTGGTCTAAACTGAGCATGTAATGAATGATGTGGGAGGTGCTGGGGGTCCAGCAGGGGGTCATCTTCAATACTTTGGGTCAGATCCAAGGAACCCTGGGGGGCAGGAAAAAAAAAAGCAAGCTGTAATCACCATTTTTCTGGATTATGTTTCTAAGACAAACTATAAAGCTGCTCTATAAAGCTTTGCAAATCATTACACAGATTAGAGGCAAAAAAGTCCACTCCCCAGCTAAAGCCAATTTTGAACACATACCATAAATCTCTAGATAACAACTGTATACAAATTGGTGAAAACAACAGTCATTAATACAGGTAGAGGACATCTTAATTTATCTTCAAAGAGGTAATACATAATGAATTAAAGCAAATAATTTGCAAGCCCTCAAAATTCAGATATTGGTTTATTTAACATTATTGATAAGGGCCGGCTGAGTGGCTCAGTTGGTTAAGAGCTCGCTCAAGAGTTTGAGCTCTGAGCAACAGCGGTTCGAGTCCAGCCCGAGCTGAGCAGCCGCTGAGCTGCCAACAGGTAGCAGGATGGCTCAGCTAAAAAAAAAAAAAAATTAAAAATAAAACATTATTGATGAAATAATTACATATGGTCGCAATTCTTAAATTATGTCTCCTTGTTCCGTAAAATTTTGGAAAGTTGGTGGAGATATTAAAACAAACTTTCAGTTATGATAAAAGATTTTAGAGTACTAATAGAAACAGTACTTTCTTGATAGACCCTCAGGGAGACTTTAGTTTGTAGATGCCAGATTCTCAATGAAAATAACTAGTTTGCAACATCACTGATATAGTCAGCAAAGGTTTAGCTGCAACTAAAAAATCTAGTCAGTCATGTTTAAAGGTGCTGAAGGTATTGTCTCGACAGGAACAGTAGTTTCAGGTCTCTGGTGCCTACAACTATCTCTCAATCTCAAACTCTTACTGAAAACTATTATATTGGGTCGTCAGTAAAGTCATGACGTATTCTATGTTTTTCAATGCAAAAATGTGTCATGACTTTCCCGATGACCCAATACATAAGGCACTGTGCCCAAGATAAATTCATGGAAGACACAGTCTAAAAGGAGATTATGTTTTTATTGGGGAGGTTAGGGGTAAAAGCATGCAGAACTAAACAACAATTTAAGAATATACAGTAGAATATAGTGCATGAAATACTGCAGGGAAATAAATTAGCAAATGGATATCAAAGGCGATGCAACAAATTTAGGTTAGCTGGTTGTACTAGAATGAGGAAAATGAAGACTTAATGCACAACAGGGAAGTCTGAGAATAGAATTCAGGGACAGAGGGTCAGGGCTCTTTACTTTGAAAGGGGTGGAGGATGGGACAAATGGTGTGAGATGGCGATTGGGTACTAGGATTATAAAGAGAATACAGTAATCTGGGGCATGTCCCAGATCTGGGGTGGGCTGCTTGATTTCTAATTGCAGGCATTCAATGCCGCTCTGCAATATTTTTTTTATTAAAAAAAAATGCCATAACTCATAGTGCAATCCTATTTGTTCTCTGTAAGACTCCTCTGCCTCTAGTTCTTTCTCAATCAGCAGGCGTTCTAGCCTCCACCGCTCTTCCTTTAGCGAATGTCCACGCAGCCTTCCGGGCCCAGTTGGGGCAATTTCCACAGGTAGCCTTCCTGGACACCCAAGCATCTGGATCATGCCACCTGTCAAATATCTGTCCCACCCAAAATGCTGCCTTCTATGATGCCTCAATGCTGTTCCTTCTGCCCTTTTCATCGACATTGTTTTCATCTCTTCAAGTTTGACTTGGGTCAATTTCATATCTTCCACGTGTATTTTTAACCTTTCGAGCATACAGAAAACAGTTATAATAATGTTTAAATGTTTGCTATTTCTAGCATGTCATTTCTGAATCAGTTGTAACTGGCTCATACATTTGTGGAGTGCCCCACAAATATACTCTTACCTTTGTCAGAATCCAACCCATCTTTCATGGTCCCAAGCAAAATGTATATTCTCTATAAAACCTGTCAGGCCAAGTGTTTTCTTTCTACTTTAAAACTCCTATAAAACATACTGCTCATAATATTAATTTGGAATATTTCTTATGCTGTCTTTTATGGTTTCCTTTTTTCATATATATGCCTTTGGTTTTCTCTCACTACACTGAAGGGATTAGGGACTACACTATGTTTTCTTCCCTAGGTCACTTATTAGATGTTCAGTAAATACAATGTATTTGATGCCGATATCACATACACTGTCCAATGGATCCTATAGAAAATGCAGTATAACCATACAAACAGCACCCCATCATTCTCTGTAGCTCACCATCTGCAAGTGAAAGGTGATGGAGGAGGATTCCCAAATCCAAAAAATTTCTTTATTTCCACTATTAATACTACATTTCTACTTGTAGAAAACATCTGTTGTTTTTGCCCTCACCATATCTGTTCCCTCTTTCGCGACAATAATTCTATTTCCTTAGGAGACCTACCATCTACCTCTGCATTAAGTCTCAGTGGGAACATCCTTCAATACTCTTCACCCTTCTCTGGCCTAGGGGTGGTCATAGACCCAGAAAGGGCTGGGACAATCCCCTCTCTCTGTGAGCAGCAAAGCAAAGGGAGACCATGGTGGAGGCAGATTCATTCCAGGACAGACCTGGAAAGGACTTGAGCTGCCCTTGTTTCGGTCCTTTCAGTGACTTAGGTGTTCAATAACCCTATATCCTTTCATATAAATCCCTTTCTTCCTTAAATTAGCCAGGGTCAGTTCCACTGCTTGCAAACAATGAACCCTAACTTAAAAAGCCTTTGCCTCCTTTAACTCATTGAAGTGCCTGCAACTACGACATGGCAGATAATTTTTAACTTTTTACTGAATGGTGGAAATCATATTTACAAAATACCAACAGCAGGCAACTTATTCAGATGGAAAGTAATTTAGCTATGTAACTGTTGGTGAAACATTAATTTCCAATTGTTTGGTGAAACAGATTTCTAAGACTGTACTCATCCTGAAGTTAAAAGCTGCAGATCCAAGAACCCTGGGGCAGCTTACCACCAGTCAAGCAGCATTTACTGCACGCATTTTTGTAAGTCTCTCATTTTACTCTGATATAATTTTTTCCATACATTGTCAGTTCATGAACACCACCCTTAAACTTTAGAAACAATCAATTTTTCTTTAAATATGTGTCTCAAATCTATTTCTAGGTCTTACAGTTAGTTTTCCATTTTCTCCACTGGGGTAAAAAAAAAAGGAATTTTTAGTCTTATCATTAGAAATTGTTTGGTCTTTATTTACTCAAGATAGTTTTAACTATAGTCACTATTTACACAAGCATTTAAGCTCTTGTAGAGCTGGAACTGTGTTTCATGTGTCTTGCCTGATGCACCTCATTCAGTGATAGAATCACAGTAATGCTTTTATTAATATGTTAATCCAAATTAGTGCTTTAATGTAACTGTCAACTTTGCGTTTCTCAAAAGCAAGATTTTATTTTGAGCCAATGGGGCAACGCAGTTAATTCTGGGCACAAATACATTTCCTCTAAAAATGTTTTAATATACTTAAGCAAAGAATTTTGCAATTATGCTATCACTCCATACTACATACACTGTAAACTAGGGCACTGGATTTTTAGTAATCTGGTTTGGATCCATTTAAGAAAGATTTAAAAATCCTTTAATTCCTACCATGCCTAGATTAAAAATATCACGGCATTGCTTTTCTCTAATGTGGACTTCCGGGTGATGATAGCGACAGGTCTGCTCGTGGGACGCCAGCGGCCGCCCTGCGTGTTGCAGCCGCTCCAGGTCCACAGCCCTCTGAAGCCGAGGCAGGGGATCCAAGAGGAGGGGAGATTCGCCCCCGACGCCCCAGGGGCGATCGAGCGGAGCCTAGCGTCCCAGCGCCCCGAGACGCGCCCAGAGCCAGGGCTGTCAGGCCAGGCGCTCATCACGTGAGGCTTTCAGTTCCCGGATCAAAGATGCGCCCTGCACGCGGGCTGGGCACCCACCTGGGACCCCCGCACCCGCGAGGCCACCGACCAACAATGCACCCCGGCCTCTTCCCGGGATGATAAGCCAGGAGCCCGCGCGTCGCGGACCCCACCCCTCCCCGGTGCCTTCTACAACCCGGCACCCCGAGGCAGCCCCGCGCAGGAGGCGCCGCCTCCCTCCGCGTTCACACGGGTTAAGGGTGGCTTCCTCCGCCAGTCTCCGCCCAGCGCGCCCAGCACAGGAAGAAGGGGATTCCGCGGCCAACCGCCCGCCACTTTCGTGCACTCACATCCTCCATCCTGCCCCCCGCCGCCATTTCCCGACGCTTGAGGCCGAAGCCCTGGCCAGCCCGGCCTCTCTCCACCTGTTCCCATGCGCCGTGGACCCAGGAAAATTGCCACCTCCAGGGACCTGTCAGCCTCTACTCTGGACTCACCGCCTCCTGCGCCAGCCACGCCCCCAGCCTTCCCCGGGCCCCACCTCCTCACTGCCGATTGGCCGAGGCATAGGGAGGGGCGTGTGCTGCCTTGAAGACCAGACAAGCTGGCCGCCCCTGCGTTTGGGACCTCCTGGGATTCTGGGGATTCCCTCCTCCGCTTGGGCCCGCTATTGGCTAGACACTTGGGCATTAAAGGATGCGTTCCAAGTCCAACAATTTAACTATTTTCGACGGCCACTTGCTTCTTTTTGAAATATTACGTAACTTGTTTTGGTCTTCCTTAGTTTTTGTTTGCAGGCACAGCTCCCCTGCATATGTAGAACCAGCAGTAGAATTTTAGGGTTCCTAGTTTTAGCTCAAAACTCCGCCAGTAGAGGGACAAGAACAGAATCAAGATTCTATTTCCCATGACATATTTACGAATTTCACCAATGGGCATGAATAAAGAAACCAAATTAAAAGCCATAGCTTCACACTTTGCGGAGCAGTAAGTAGTTACTTAATTTGGCTTGTATTCAGTTCTGAATCATAAGCAGGCTTTACCCACTTCAGAAAACTCACTTTCTTGAGTCTAAGTCTTTGCCTGTATAACACTTCCAGGAGTAAAAAGGTTTTACCCTTTTTCAACATGAACTTTTTACTTCTCTTGTAAGTACTCCCCAGTTGACAGATTTAGTAAATGATGTTGGGAAAATCAGGTAGCCATTTGGAAGAAAATAAAGCTGGATCACTACCATATTCCTTAAGCCAAAATAAATTCCCAATAGTTCAAAAATTTAAACATAAAAATAAATCAACAAAAGTTCTAGGAAAAAAATTAACATAGCTTTACAATAGAGACTTTCCATGCTTGACCCCAAACCCAGATGCACTAAAGAAAAGTGTAATAAATTAGACTACATAAAAAGTTTGAGGCTGGGCCGGCCGAGTGGCGCGATGGTTAAGAACCGCTTGGGACGCCAGAGGGCCCTGGTTCAGATCCCACATATGAGGGCCAGTGACACTGCCCTCCACAGCTAAGATGCTGAACAACAGCTCAACCTGGAG